TCCTGGTATTATGGGAGAAGAAGAGGTATTTATTATGTTGTTCACAATAATTACCAATCAGAAATTTTGGGCCCTGTTACTATCTTTGGGATGAACACAAAGATTCTTTCAGAAATAATATCCCAACATTGCAATCGTATGCAGAGTTATTATATAATTATATAAATATAAATATAATATATTAATTGAATAAAATAAATAAATAAATAAAATCTAAACCCATTTAAATCAATGGTTTTCAACTGGCTGGATTAACTGCAAGGGATTTACTGTGCAGGTGCCTGTTTATACTTTTCATATATACGTTTTCTGGTGCGTGTTTACACTGCATATGTGTGTTTTCTGCCACATACCGCTTTTTAAAACCATTAACTCTTTTTATTGGAAGTTTTTTAAAAATTACAAATATATTAAAAAATGAAATCATACAGACGTGTTAGTGTCAAGGTAGATCTTCCATAAACTCATCCCACCCAAATCCTAATGGCATAAAAATGTATTAACTTCTAACATGAAATTATTATTCAGATCATATACACAGCTAGACCCTACTTTGCTATATGCATGACATTGACTGATGGAGTGGGATCTACTTCACAAAATGTATGCTCTAATACATTTGTAATTTCATCTCTTTCTGATGTTCAAATGGTGGCATGTATACACATGTATCACCCCATGGAGAGTGCAAGAATACACACCTCCTTTTTTGCTTCTTCCATGCTATGGTACATGTGTGTACATGCCAGCATCTGTACATCTGAAGAGAGGTTTGAAAGTGCCATAGCTGTATGTGCGGTTGCTTGGCCAGAGATTCAGCCCCCTTACCACATGGTTTCTTTCCATGCTCTGGCAAGATGCTGCCAGGAATGTAGGGGAGACAAACCCTGCAGCAGGCTGAACTCTGTGGCAAGCAGGTACATGTGAAGGTTGTTTTCTACATGGATTAGCTGCCACATGGAGTCTCTTTTGTTTGGCTGCTGAATGCAGGATACCGAAAAGCAACACACAATGAAACTGCAAGAAAATGACATGTGTCAGAACATTAACAGTACTTTATTAGAATACATTCTAAAACATTTAACGTTTTTGCAATTATGGTGCATTTCATCATTTCCGTGAAGACATAAATTCTAAATAAGGAACAGTTCTGTGAAATAAGAAGCATGGGGAAGACTGCTGCCAAACAGCAGCATCTAGATGAACTCAGTGTTCCCTCTAAGCTGAGTTTGGGTGAGCTAGCTCACAGTTTTTTAGCCTCCGGTTCACACATTTCTGTCTTAGCTCAGGGAGGATGGCTCCAGAGCAAGCTAATTTAGGCAGCAGCCAAATCGCACGCTCACAACTTTAATGCCAGTAGCTCACAAAGTAGAATTTTTGCTCACAAGAATCCACAGCTTAGAGGGAGCATCTACATGAAGTGGCCCTGAGGCTTTCACCTTCACCCAAAGGACCGTATTCCCCAGTTTATCCTACCCGTAAAGCCCTTTTGGTCATTTATTTCTTTTGATTAAATCATAGGGTTGCCAACTGACCAGGGAAAATAAATGCTCTGGTTTGCTGCCATGCCTTTGACCACAGGTGAAGCTTTTCATTGCATGGAGACAAATATACCACCTGCTAATGCCTGCAGATCAAATAGCTGTGAAAGGCTGGAGAGTAGAGGCCGTTAAAAAGTGGGCAGTTTAGGTTGTGTATGCTCTGTACTGAAAAACAGAAAAAAACTGCCTCCTATATTCTCCTCTAAGAAAAGGATAATGTGAATTCTTTTTATACTAAATTATGCAAACTAAGAAAATACGTGTTTCCTTATTTTGCATAATTCAGTTTCCAGGACCTATAGAGAAAGACGATAGAGCACCAGCTTCACACAGTTGAAAGGCCCACTTATCCTTCCTCCTGTATTGGGTTTCTCATATCTTACAACTTGTGGCTCAGTAGCTGTTAATGCCTATATTTGCAGCTACAAGGACTGGAAATGTGCTTTTTAAAAGCTAAGCTGCTCAGGAGGCAGAATTTCACTCACAATACAATGTTTGCAATTGCCACTCTTTATACCGTATATCTCTGACCTTTTAGATGTTGCAGTGTACAATGGTGCCCCCCCACCCCATGAGCAGAGGAAGAAAGAAAGAGCCCCAATGTATTTTTATACATTTTGTACATTTAAGTGGTATATTTTGCTTTTATCTGTTAAAGCATTTTTAACAATAACAATTTTTCAGTTGGTCAGTTGCCTTACAATGTGAGTAGATTCTTCTTGGCTAGTGTTTTATATAGATCCACTGCCCAAACACCATTGGCTCAGTTCAAATGTAATGCCAAATCATGGTTGATGTTAACATGAATAAAAGCTCAGGCCTTGCCTTCTCTCTCACACCCACTTCTGCACTTCCTGATTGTAGGCACATCTTAAAACAGCAAACTATGGTTTGTGATTCCCTTCCAGGTCATAATTGCTTTTCCAACCATGCTCCTACTTGAAAACTGGGAAGTTCAGGAGGCTTGAAGGGGAAGAGGGCGCATGCGAGCCTGAGGCTTGCTTGCATAATCCTAAACCACACCTGGACTCTCTGTGTGACACAGGAACATGGTAGGCTTGTGACTGTGTTTTTGTACTGGATCTGAAAGTGACATAATCTTTGCAAAGTGTGTCTTGCTTCTGACTGTCCTAGTAATTAACATGTGAAGGTTTCTGAGGAGCAGCTTGGATTCCATAGCTTCACTAATGCTGCATTAGAAGGAGCGGTTGCTACCCTTGCACTCTTGAGGCGGTTATTACAGGAAGAAACGCTGACATAAAATCTTCTGACAAAGTGGGCTCCTGGTTACAAAAGGATATACTACCCCCCAAAAAGAGTTCATCTTTATGGTACCTCAGAATTCTTATATTATTTTGACTGCAACAGTATAGAATATAGTTGTCTCTCTGGAATCTGGCATAAATGTTTAAGGGTTAGGAAGTTAAGCAGTCCTAATTTATGGGTGCTTTCAGGGTGCCTGTTTCAGTTCCACTTTAGGTTGCTTTGTAAAGCTGATCAGAGTGAAAACACACAAAAGGCAGTCATATATCCTCCAGGAAGATGCATGATCCATCACAGAGGGAGTTTGGTGCAGTGCAAGAAACGGTTTTTGAATGGATAGAATGTTAGGCATGGTCTGTGAAACCTGGGTTCAAATTGTTGCTCGCTGAAGGCAGTTTATACAGCATTCCAGGGACTGCTTTTTATGTGACAGTCTGAGGCAGTGAGCTGAGGTGCATGCACCTGGAAACTTCTGGTAATGTGCAGAAATGTTTGGCACGTCGCAGATGTTGCTCTGCTGGACTAGGTGCTCTGGGGAGATAATGGATCCTCAGCATAACCATGTGGTGTTGCAGGTGGGCAGCCGTGTTGGTCTGAAGCAGCAGAACAAAGTTTGAGTCCAGTGGCACCTTTAAGACCAACAAAGTTTTATTCAAGGTGTGTGCACAGGAAAACTTATACCTTGAATAAAACTTTGTTGGTCTTAAAGATGCCACTGAACTCAAACTTTGTACATGTGCTGTTTAATTTTTTGTAACTGGCCTTGAGGCTCAGCAAGAAAGGCAGGCTGTCGGCAATGTTCCCTCTAAGCTGTTGAGTCTTGTGAGCAAAAATTCCACTTTGTGAGCTACTGGCCTTAAAGTTGTCAGCAAGTGATTTAGCTCCTGCATAAATTAGTTTGCTTTGGAGCATTCCTTCCTGAGCTTAGACAAAAATCTGTGAGCCGGAGGCTAAAAAACTGTGAGCCAGCTCACACTAACTCAGCTTAGAGGGAACTCTGGCTGTCGGTATAGGAACTAAATAAATACTTGGTTTCCCATATGCCAGTCTGTGCATGATTGGCCTTCTGTTGCACTTTACCAGAAAGAAACCACAGAGTTTTTCCATTGGCCTCTTTTATTAATTTTCAAAACAGTAAAATAATAAAAGACATACCCAAAAATTGCTGGGTCAAATTTACACTATGGAACCCGTCACCTAAGGAGCCCATTCATTCTAAGAGAATTGTGTGTGTGTTCCTGCTACATACTTTTAAAAGCATTGACTGGTGTTCAAATGACAGGAAAGTTCCCCTTCGGGCAGCTCCATCTTCCTGAGACTACTTGGATTATCTGGGAAACTTTTCTGTCTTGTTTTTGTTTTTAATGTACTTGGCATCTATTGGACCCGCCAGCTCTGATACTTTAATCGGGCTTCATGCTCAGTCCAACTGTCTACAGGGTACCGGCCTCGGCTTGTGTATACAC